AACATGGATCAGAAATAAAGAATATCAGTTAATTGAAATATATACAAAAGTACAAAATAGATGTTCTGTACAAAAATCTTATGTAGCACAACTCTATAGAAATACTAAAATACAAAAAAGGTCTTTATCATAAAAAAATTAAATAAGCTAGATCCTAAGTCATACAAACAAAATATACATAATTAAATCAGATAGTGTGTGTGTGTGTGCGTGTAGGCATATGTATATGTATGTGTGCATGTATGTTCCAGCATAACTCTTGAACACCTTGAGCAATTTCAACCAAACTTGGTACATAGATGACTTATTCTCTGGGAAAAAATGCTGTAGGAGTACGATACTCCTAACGCCCCTTGGGTGTGTGTTCTATTAAGATACAACCTGTTGTGTCTTAAAATGGCTTCTACTGAACTGCCATAAAATGGCTTTTACTGTACAGCATAATGGATTTGCCATGGTAATGGCTTCACAGTACTCCACAAGGGGGCTACCTCTGGTAAGAGGGAAAATCCGACATTAGAAATTACGTTTGGTCTGGACATTTTCCCCCTATAAATAAATACCCAGACAACACTGGGTTATCAACTAGTATACAATATAAAAGGCAGGAAAGTCTACTACCAACACTAGTCAGAAGCCACAGAGCCCAACCAGAAGATTACTCCTATTCCTTAAAGTCAAACTAAAGAAACTGGGGAACAAGAAAGTCATCTATCATCCAAAGAATAAAAAGTCAATTACAAAATAGTGGGACTAATAATTCTGAAAGACTTTCAACCTTGACTTTCCTGTTGGAGTAGTGGGGATTGCCAAAAGTACCCAAAGAACATGACTGAGTAGATTTTGTTGGGATGCTCCTGCTCAAAGATAGGGAGAAATACCATAGTGCATTGACCCCGAGACTGAAGAGATTTTTTAGGACAGGATTGTGAAGTTTATGAGAAAAAAAAGGACAGTATTAAATTTGATTGTTTAATTTGACAGGACAAATTTAAGCATAATCATTCTAACCCAAGTTTAATACCTTTTAAAAGTTAATTTAACAAAATCAAATCTAGCTTTTGTCTACTCTTCGTTAATCTTAGGGATATGTCCCATGTCGGCGCATTTAATGTGAGGTTTTCCAAAAATGTATGCTTGGCAGGTGAAAAAGAAAATAAAAACCACGCACCCACAGAGCACATTTTAATGATTTCATCTTTGAGGAACCAAGGCTGAAAAGCAGAGCAAAAAAAAATATCACACACTTTCATAAAAATCAGGCTTTTTGGGACACATTAAGTAAAATGCTGTATTTTCCGTGTTTCCTTTCTTCCCTTCCTCCATGGGCCAGACCTGAACTTTAGTTTTCATTAAAATATATCTAGAAATTGATTTAGTGCATATATATATTTCACAGCGATTAATAGGTTTAGCATGCTTGATTGTTAGAAAGAGAGAAGCTTGTTCAATTTTAAATGGAAGGAATGTCAAGCTTACCTTCCCTTTCGCGTCTTTTTGCTTTCTTCCTTCTGATGCAGTAAATAATCAGAGCCAAAAAGATGATCAATATGACTACACTTCCCACGATTATCAGGATTATGAAGAGCATAGGTACTGAATAAAATACATCTGAAACACAGAACAACTCATAAGAAAAGACTGTATGTGTGAACTTATACAAATATACGCATGCACATAGATAAGGGAAAGTGAGCATATACAAAAGACAAAAAACAATCTATTATTTTTTCTGTCCTCCTAACATATTAAAAATAAGTGGGGGAAACACAAAACTTTTATTGATGGGTTCCTTAAAAATGGTTTCTTGAATATATCACAGTTGGCATAAACAATCAAACCACAATTTCATTTAACATTTATTCATGTAACCGATTGGCTCTGCCACAATTACAGGGCTGTATATATTTAGATAAGTGGAATGTCTCACAATTGAATTGATTCATGTTAAAAATTACAAATTACAAACCACTCAGTCTGAATTTACACATTAAGCCAGAAACTAAACATGGATTATTTATTATGGTTTACATATTTAATATTCCAGGCTATACAGTCTAGCATTCAGAAGTGTGTTGCGAACCTAGGTTAATACCTGCAACTGGACATGTGATTTGTTTCTCGATATAATTCTTCTTAGTAGGAACATCAACCTCACATCTGAATTTTCCGGAACTGACATTTAATTGTAATGTCACCTTCCATGTTGCATTGTAATATTCTGGTTGTACAGATTCAATTTCTTTAGTATCTTGAAACAATTTAAATCTGGGTTTTGGTTCCCCAGAATATTTCGCCTCACATGTCAATGTTTTTTGGGAACAAAACTCATTGAGTTCTAGTAGAAGCTCTGAAAGAAAAGAAATAAACTCTGCTAAAAGATTTAAATATGCCATTATTATTTTTAAAAAACCCAAGAATTGCATAATAGAGGATTAAATCTTTATCTTTTTGACTACTATTTCCATGCAGAGCCATGGTGACTTAGTAGTATAAAATTCAATACTTCAGGCTAACTCTGTCTACGGCCAGGAGTTCGATCCTGACTGACTCAAGGTTGACTCAACCTTCCATCCTTCTGAGGTCGGTAAAATGAGGACCCAGATTGTTGTGGGCAATATGCTGATATTGTAAATCACCCAGAGTGCTGTAATGGGGCAATATATAAATCTAAGTTCTATAATCTTCTGTTATTGGCTTTGCTGGATGGGGCAAATAGGAATTGAAGTCCAAAATATACAAAGGACGTTAGAATGCATAAGCAGCATATAAAAAAAAACAAGATATATTAAAGTTATCTTACAAACTGCAAATTAAACAAAAATAATGGAAAAAAACAGTATTTGGTTATTTAATAATGACAAATATTCACTGAATTCTGTAACTATTACTACTATCAAATAGAGCAGAGTAAAATACAATACAATGTAATAATAATAATAATAATAATAATAATAATAATAATAATAATAATAATAATAATAATAATAATAATACATAGATCCTTGAATGAGTTCCATCTGAGTCTTGTTTTCTTTTATCTAAAAATAAAGTAAATTGCCTATGCGCAGGCTGCTTGAG